TGGCGAGGTTCGCTTCGATGATCGCGTTGGTGGCAACCGTGGTCCCGTGGACGAGGTACCTGACCGCATCGGGCGCGACATCGTCTGCCCGAGCATATCCGGGTCGACGACGTGGAGGAATCCCTCCGAAGGATCGACGGGCGTAGAAGGGCACCTTGCCTGTCCGGACTCTCGCCTGTGGACTCGTCCAGGAGGATGGCGTCGGTGAACGAGTCCCTCCGACGTCCACCCCAAGGCGTAGTCGGTACCGATCGGTCACTGGGCCCGTCCAGTGGAACCCAAGCGGAGACACGCGGTGGCCTCGATGTCCACCGTCCAGGTCTCCGGGTCCACGGCCACCAGGTAGACTTCCCGTGCCCGTCAGGGGATCACCTTGCCGTTGGGACATCGGACAGGACGGCCGTCAGGGTCACGCTCCTCCGGCGGGCCATATCCACCTCCTCCACAGGTGCGGTAGCTGACCACGTCGTTTTCCCTGAGCTGTACCGTCACCTTGGAAGGCAATTCCGTCGCGTCCGAGTCGGGGTTGAGCACGTAGTGGGCCCTCTCTCCGGGTAGGCCGCCGAAGAGGCCGTGGGGTCCCCAACGCTCTCGGTCGGCGAGAATGGTAAAGGATGCGTCGTGGTCGGGGAAGAGATAGTCCCTACGCAGCCCGAGGCCGCATCGGTGTCTGCCCGGCCCCCTCGGAGTCCTCCCACCAACTCGTAGCGGGTGATGCGTACTGGATAGTTGAGCTCGGTCTCCTCCACCGGGGCATTGGCCGTGTTCTTCCCGTGGGGCTGCACCGCCTCGGGCCCGTCTCGCGATGCACGCCCGCCGTAGCCTCTCCCGCTATGTCTCTAGGAAGCAGTAGGTCTCGTCCCTGTAGGGGTCCGAGCCTCCGAACCCTGAGTGGCAGATCATGGCCTCCGTGCCCGCCGGCACCCTCTCGGGGATGGCCTGGGCCAGCGCCTGAAGATAACGTCCACCAGGCGATCTGCGTCTCCCAGCCTCCCACGACCGGATATGGCTCCGTGCAGTTGACCACGGTGCCCTCCGGCGCCACCATGCGCACGTTGCGATAGAAGCCGGCGTTCACGGGAACGTCCGGATCGATGAGGCACTTGAGGACGAAGGCCACGCCTGAGTGGGTCTGCGCGTAGGTGGAATTCACCGGGGCGTTGCGCTGGGTGTCGAGAGCCCGCGAAGTCGAACAGCAGCCCGTCTTCGTCGATGGTCACGCTGGCGGCCAGCGACACCGTCCTCAGTGTAGCCGTCGCTGTCCAGGCAGCCCTTGCTGGCATACACGCCCTTGCGCAGCTCGCAGCTCGGCCCGGGTGCGACGGTCGGTGTACTCGATCAGCATCGTCGCTGTAGCGTCGGACTGTGGCCACACTCATGCGGTCTTTCCAGGCAGTGCGTCATCCGGCGTATGCCGGTATTGTTGGCCGCGATCTGGGCGCGCAAAGTCTCCGGCCTCGTCGCCCGCTCGCCTGACCTGGCAAGCACCAGTCGAGACGTCCCGGTTGATCTGTCCGTCTCCCCAGCAGCTTGACTGGCGGGACGATCTCTCCTTCCCGTGGGTAGATCATTCGCGAAATGCCACCAGAAGCCCGATGCTGGCCGGATCGGTCGCGCCTCCGCTTACGTCCATGCGTGATGGCCAAGCTTGCCACGTAGCCACAGCCCGCCTCGCCCTGCTTTGTAGAACATCGGCGAGATGAGCGTTGGATGTCGTTCAGGTGGACTCCGCCCTCATACGGGAGTTCACGAGATCCCTCTCGCCCGTCAGCCCAGCCTCTCGGGCCGTACCTGTACCTGGGCCTTGGCAACGTCTCCACCAGCGACCACGAGGTGAGTTGCGGCTTGGCTGAGGACTGGGCGACGTCCTCAGCCGTCAGAGATCGAAGACGCGAAACACGAGAAGCTCGTGTCCCGCGTCCCTGATGGTGTCGTCGAGTAGGCGCTTCGTCTCAGTGCCGACGCCAGCTCCTCGGGGGGCCTCGTGACTGTAGTGGCGTTTTCGTATCACTCGAACCTGATGGGATCGATCGTGCCGTGGTGTGCGCTACCTTTGAGCCTCCTGGGAATCACTCGCCAAAGCCTTGGAGCTCTGAACAATTGTTGGGCCGGACTTCAGCTGGGCCGAGTTGACCGGAGTGGTTTTGGGGGCGTTGAATTGCCTCATGGCGCCGTGGTGGGGGTTATTCTCGGCCTACAACCGGCCCTGACAGGGCGTTTCGCCGCCGTTAGGCCTGATTTTGGGCGCACTTATACAAGGTTTCACGCCGCCAGGTACTGTTCGGCCCTCATCAAGTTGGCAAACCCCAGCAGCGTCATCAGCCGCTGCGTGTTCTTGGACAGTCCCCTGTAGCGGACCTTGGCGTAGCCGAAGTGCCGCTTGATGTACAGGAACGGATGCTCCACCTTAGCTCTGACCGACGCTTTGCGCTTCTCCGACACCGCCTCAGGACTCTCAGGCTCCAGCTTCCGACGCTGGCCGGGCCTCATCGCCACCTGCCACTCCACATCCAAGCCCCGGTTGCCCGGCCTCTTGTCAACTCCCTGATACCCAGCATCTCCCCACACCTGAGACTCCCCACCGTGCAGCAACCGGGGCAACTCAGTCAGGTCATGCACGTTCGCAGATGTCGTGGTCATGCTGTGCACCACTCCCGTCTGCGAGTCCACACCGATGTGCACCTTCATCCCGAAGTGCCACTCGTTACCCTTCTTCGTCTGGTGCATCTCGGGGTCGCGCTCTTTAGCCCGATTCTTCGTCGATGAGGGCGCCGCTATGATGCTCGCGTCCACTATCGTCCCCTCCTGAAGACGGAGACCCTTGGACTCCAGATAGCGGTTGATCTCCTCGAACAGACCCGAGCCCAACTCATGCTCTTCCAGCAGGTGGCGGAAGTTCAGAATCGTCGTCTCGTCCGGCAGCGGCCCAGGCAGTCTCAGCCCTACGAACCGCCTCACCGATTCGACCTCGTAGAGCATGTCCTCCATCCCAGGGTCGCTCAGGTTGTAGAACAACTGCACGCAGTGTATGCGAAGCATCGCCGACAACTCGTACGGACGCCGACCTCGGCCAGCATTGGGATAGAACGGTCGGATGCGCTCTTCCAACTCTTCCCACGGGATCAGTCCATCCATGCGCTCAAGGAACTTCTCCCTGCGAGTCTTTCGCTTCTTGCTCTCGTAGTCCAAGTCCGCAAACGTCGGCTGGTTCATTGCCTCGCCTCCCACGTCTTCAGGTCTTGGCCCTATGTTACTATCCCGCAAACCACCGGGACTTATTCAGAGCATCCCTAG